GGTACCTCGAAGCAAATGGTTGGAAACGTTGAACGTATAATTCGCGGCGTGAGTTTAAAATTTCGTAGTTTAATACGAATATTTACACGAACGATGTTCAAACTCTGATCAAAGTGATTCCCCTCTTAATTATCGTAAAAAAAAAAAGAATGAAACCGTTATAGGCTACATTTCCTAAATTCGTAATTGCTAGGTTGACGCAAAAACGTTACGTCTAGTTCCCGGAACATTCGTGCTTGCTACGTGGCTCGAGGTGCAGCAAACCGGAAGACCATGCCCCTTTACGCGCAGGCCTTCATCAAGGCCACGTCAGCTATCCTAAACATCTACGTTTCCTGTTCGCGGAGGGCTCTTCAATTAAGAAGATTGGCAAGCTCGGATAGATAATTACATGTAAATTGATTTCCTAGGCGAACGTATGCATTAACCTTAACCAAACCATTGCGCACGGTGCCAACAGCACTGTCTTAAGTATACCTAATCTGTCGTCAACCTAGATAACTTCGTCTAGTATTGCGTTAGCCAGCTTGGCACCTTGGTTACCACCTATAATCGAACCAACTCATTTGCAACACTCTTAAGATAACCGATACGTTTAGTTATCGAAGGGATATTCTTATAATTGGTACAACTAAAATTATCAATCACAGAGCTTACGCAATAAAAAATTTTCAAGAAATTCAATCTACATTTCGAACGGCAGTTATCGAATTCGCGAACAAATAATCGTCAGGAAGCACTTTAATTGCTAATTAAGAAATAGTCGATAAATTTTAATTCCGCTAATAATTCAGTTGTAACCCGCGAGAAGGACCTTCTTCTGGCGGAAAAGTTTTGCCAATAATTTACGCGGTCTATCGAGCGAACTGTCGATATCTGTCCGTGGGTTCGACAAATTTTAACCTTTAATCCCATTTGCGCCGCGGCCGGTTAAAAGGTATTTCGAAGCGCGCGCCCGCGGATTTTCGGGAAATAACAGAAACGACGCTGCAATAAGACGAACTTTGCGATTTGTTACCCGTATGAAGTAGAGCTGGGACGGCCGGAGCAGGAACAATCATAAATCTACGGAAAGGAATCCCTATTCAGAATCCCGATAATAGAGTTGCGCGTGCAAGCACGAAGACAAGAGCTTTCGAACGGTACATCGCGAAACACGGATTCGTGATCACTGGAAATCCGAGGAAGCCAAATCGTCTTAAATGTCTGATTAGCAACCGAGATTCTAATGAATTTCACCGCACGTAATTGCAACGTGTCGCTGGTTTATTCGTCCAATGACGGAACTTAACTTTCGTTGAACCTGCCGAGTCGACATTGTTCTTCTTGTCGACCAACTTCTTCTCCTCCAACTTCTGTCGTACTTCTAATTGAATTAAAAATCGTACCTGGAATGTAATTACAAGTTCTCGGAGAAATTACAATTTTCAGGAAACAAATTCAACGTTGCTCTGTTACGAATTACTTCTTAAGGGCGTGTATTAAGTGCTTTCGGAGTAAATGAACACGTTTCATTAAAGAATTTGAGCTAATGCGCGAAAAAATCAAGGGTGAAAACAAATTCGTCGCGTTTCTCTGTAATTCGTTGTAAGTGAATCGAATTGGCTCCGAAGTATGAATTATTTCTCGACGAACTGCGTATCGTGAATGCGTATAAATTTTAATGCGAATTGTTGCGTTACAATTCAAGCCTATGTGCGTATTCTCTTTAGAGTTTCCTGTTTTTCAAGCCGAGTACGATATTATATCAATCGAACGACGATATTGCTGTTTATTTATTTTCGCCCAGACCTGCGTTGAATTGAAATTCGCTCGAGACCATTCCATATCTCTCGCTCTGCTCTTTTTCTAGCGTGAGATATAAAAATCTGGCGAAAACAATTAAGCCTCGTATCGTGCACAGAGGGAACAGAAAATTGTTTGCTTGTAGTCCTCGCTGAGTGAAAAAATACAAACTTCCGAGTAACTTAATTTAATCAAAACGTTCAAAATAATTTGATGTTTAAATGTTCCGCGTTTAAGCATCTTTTTTTTTTAAATCAATTGGTTTATTGCTACTAAAAAATGGCGTCGAAGTACAACTAAGAAAGGTTTCATTTTGTTCGCTGCTAATTTCTCGTTATTTTTCATTCTTTTCGTAGACACGGTACATTGAAATCAGTGTACTCGAGGTAAGGGCAGGAAACGAAGGGTGGCTCTCGCGACGAGCGACTTTATTCCGCGAATAAAGGCACGGCGCTTTGTGCACAATGTTTGTCCTCCGTTTTTCAGGATCGTTATTTCTCGTTGAGACTGCAAAGAGAAAGGATCTTCGTCCTAGTTCCTTTTTTCACCTGATATACCACTCGTCCGCCTAGCTCTCAGTTCTGTGTAGTTAGGCGAGCTTACTTTCAATGCCTGCCCACTCATACATCGCGATCCGTCCCTTTCCGTAACTGCACTTTGTTTCAACGTCCATTTGCTCGTCCTGCGAAATTACGTTTCGTTTAGCCTCGCTCGATATCAGGCGTCCTGTTAATTTTCAAGCGTAAATTTCATTGCGAACGATCCTGCGAATGGAAGTTTTTTTCATGGATAAAGAACGAGCCTTAATTAAAACTTATCGAGAACGAGACTGCGCACTTTATTTATTTGCTAACGTTTCGAAGGATTAATTCACAACCCTCCTCAGATATAACACATCGAACTCGGTCGTTCGTTGTGTTTCTTTTTCTGTGTGTATTCGTCATACGGGACACAATGTTGCATACTGTTCTTATTTGGCAACGTTTCGAAGGGTTACTTCACAACCATCAGATGTAACACATTGTACTTCGTCGTTCATTATGTTTCTTTTTCTGTGTGTACTCAGCATACGGGACACAATGTTGCACACTGTATTTATTTGGCAACGTTTCGAAGGATTCACAACCCTCCTGGAATTCGGACTACACCCTCTCTCCCAAAGCTAATCGGAATGACCGATTGTTTTATGATTTGTTGTCAATTTTTATTAACCTGTGAAAGTTTCATAACATTTAAGGGACAGTAATTGGTATACGTTCGTCGAGAAATGAACAAAAAGCAAAGAATCAACATTAAATTCTTTATTAAAAATGGTAAAAGTGTTATAGAAACGATCCGAATGCTTAAAATTGCTTATGGATTCTAATTAGTTCTGATATTTTTAAAGCCATTCTAGTTATGGGACAGAGGGTGTATAACACTTACATTCACCTTCCTTCAGGTGAATTTTATTTCGTGTGCCTCCACCCTTAGCTCGATGAACCCCTGCACCCCCTTGGAACGCAAACTCAATGTTTGCTAATTGCTAATGGTCCCGCGATCACAATCAGTTTTCCCTTAGCTTATAACCAGATCAAACTGCACAGATAACCGCTGCGGGTTAACGAAAACAGAAAAGTGTAATACCGCTATATTTTCCCGGACGGAATATTTACGGTCGTTCGAATGCAATCACCGGTATCACGCGACGTGAATAACAATGCACCTTCGTGAGACGTAATGAGCCACGGCTTGTATGTGTTCGTTAGCCCACTGCGTTACAATGGAGCTTCCCCGGCGAAGATAACCCAACCCCTGGGCTCACGTGTAACACGAAATACGGTGGACGCCCGTGTTTTCCAATTTGCCTTCGGGAATGATATATAGGGTAAATGGGGTCCGAAAATTCGAGGGTATGTTCCGCGTATAAAAACAACGCGTAAGAAGCGAAACGGACGCGCTACGTATCGCGCTTAGAACGTAAACCGAGTTAGAGTTGAGTTAGTATAGCGTATAAAATCTAGTAAACCGGGAATTGCGGATACATTAGTCTTCCCCTGTAGTGGAAAAGAAACGGGTATTAAATTTTATTGGAATTATGCGCTCCATTTATTCTTCGAGTGTATACTTAATCTGCTTTCGACAGACTGGGATGATCGATAAGGTTTGAAGCAGGAGTTCCATACATTTTCATTGGTTTTTAAAAAGATCAATGGACGCGAACGGGGTTTCCATAAAGTATCGTTACTATGATTGATCGCGTTTTATAGCAAATGTTTATTTAGTATAAAATGGAAAAGAATATTCAATTGGGAACGATAATGTTGTTGGCCCACCGAGAATTGTATAATTAATTAGTGGCGCGAATGCAAAATCCTTAAATTTATCGGACTCTAAAATCTGCAGTAGCACTCGACTCGAGGCTGGATAAAATCATAAAAATAAAGGTATTACGGGATTTGCGCGGTGGACTGAATTAATATTCCTTTCCGTTATTTACTTTTCCCGTCTTGTTTCTCATCCTTTCAGCCATTACTAATTAAACGAATATAATTACCGTAGAGCAATTAAATGAGCAACGTTGCTTGTTTCGCTACGCGAGTGAAATAAAACAATAACATTCTATACACACGGGGAGCAAACGAAAATAAAGTAAATGTTCGCTGCCGCTACCAAACTTTAGATTGCTGTGCTTTCACCAAACGAAAAGTTTATTAAATATCTATGTCGTAACGCTGCAAACATGTTGTTCGTAAAGTTTTAATTGGAAAGTTGTAGCAGCAGAAAAAGAATTTTTCGTAGATATATTAGAAATATCGGATTATTTAACTCGAATTCGAGAACGTTACGTCGGCTCGGCTTTAATTCATTCTCGACGATTATTATTTCGCGTCGTTTCTGCAATTCGCTTGAAATCACGTTTCATTTAACTATCGCGCCAACGAAATTCGAACGCGCAACTAAAAGCGCTGCAATTTCGAAATTGGAAATGGTTAGGGTGTGTATTTACCAGGAAACGTTGCGAATTTTTAAAAGACACGTTATTACGTCCACTAATAAACTATAAAACAATCTATGACACAAGCCATTTAATAACGTAATTTCCCATTAGATATACATATATAGTCACCTTCGGTATTCTATAAATAAGAAAACGTAAACTCGCGCAACGAATTTCAACGAGTTACGACAAGTTGAACCGTTCACCCCGAACAAAATGAATTACGTCCAGCCAGTGATTTCACAAAGAACATTTATTGCGTACATAATTACACGTTTGAAGTAGCCTACATGAAATAATTCACGTCCACGCACACGGGGACGACCCATCGAAGATCCTCTCCTCGCCCGAGGATCATCTCAACCCGTTCGAGGGTAATCGACACGCTCGTACGAATAGCTGAGTAAGCCGAATCCCTTTTCCCCCTTCAATAGGGGATCCCGACGTCGTCCAAGTTGTTCCTCCGCCTGTTCTCCGACGTCTTATGGTTGTGCCTCGCGCAGAACTCCTGAATCCTCTGACAGGCTTCCTGCAGCATGTTCGCCGGCACCGTGATCACGATCCTCATGTAGGACGAATAATCGAAGCACTGCGGGCGAAAGAGAGCACGGTACCGTGTAATCGGTGGAAAACGCGAAGCGAGCGAGCGTATACGCGCGCGATTTAAACGTACGTACCTGGCCCGGTAGGCAAAACACGGACTCCTCCATTAGCAGCCGCTGCAGGAAATCCAGGTCGGAATTAAATTCCGGAAAACAGGATAGATCGATGTAAACCTGAAAACCGATTGGATAATTTATAAGCCGGCAAATCGTTACCGGGCCCCCTTGGCCATGTTCACGTGTACGTACAACACTCGACACTTGATTACGCCCCCGCTGTACGTGCACACGTGTTTCCTTATTCGAAACTAAACGCGGCTTCCATTGTTCTACGCTAACGAGGGAAACACTCGACGTGTCCTTGTGCGATTTTAATCTACTCTTGCAGAATGCCGCGTTACTGTGCCTTGGATGCCGGGTGCGGTGACTTGATAATTGTTGATTATTTTTTGGGGTCGGGGGTAGTTTGAGATAAACAGGCAAGAGATCATTCGAAGTATCAGACATTCTTCTATTATGACACGAGGAAATTGCTATTGACGTTGCTGAATGGTGCATTACTGTGTCGTGGATGCTGGATATATTAATTTGGTTATTGGTTTTTGGGGGAATGGTACTTTGAGATAAACAGGGGTGGAGCATTCGAAGGTTCTGCTGTCATTCTTTCTTATTTTTAAATGTTTCTTACCGTAAAATTTCTCGACGTGTAAAACATTATGGCACGAGCGAAATCGTTATTAACGTTACGTGGATAGTTACCATCATATACATGGCTCCATGTGGCATTAACGGTGTCAGACCGGGTATCTTCATTATATAATTGTAGGCCAATTTCGAATGGTTCTGAAAATTGGTTACGTCGACGTAGCGATGTAATTCGTACTGAAATTTTCACGAATAGATCAGCAATAATTCCACTCACGTGTAACGTGCACATAACGTCGTCGTAGAACTTCTGCGGGGTGTTTCTCAATATGGCGGGCAGCGCACCCTGAATGAGCGTGTTGCTACCGATGATCCTCTGACTGAGGCGCTGCAGACCGTTTCGTATCTGTGAGAACAAAAGTCAAACGAACGTAAAGACGTACTATCAACATTTTGCGATCGGCAAAGCAACACGAATCAAAGTTTCTTCGGGGGATGAGCTTCGATCCTCGCGAACCATCGACGCTCTCTTTTTCCCTTTTCCCCTTTTTTTCCGCCAGAAATAAACCTCGAAGAGAGTTAAGAACGCGGCGAACGGTGCCAGAAGACAAACTTTAACGGCGGGATAAAGTTTAATCAACGAAATTTAATCCAATCGCGGCACGAGGGCTCGCGGAACCGCGCTCGTCCTCGTTACAGAAACAATACGACCGGAGAAGCAATTATTTTCAAGCTGTTGCGTATAGAACTTGTCGTTCCGTTACCCTACCTCCTTCTCCAGGGCGTTGTGACGATCGTGGATGATTATCCAGCCCATGCGCCAGCCGGGCACTAAAAATCTGAAACACCGACGGAAATCGTCGTTTATTGTTCGCTGGACGAACACGAGCACCCTCGTAACCCGATTACACGGTTCCTCGGTTAATTGATGCATTACTTGACGATAGGATTACGAATACGGAGAGAATTATTCTTATTACTTGTCCCGATGAAATTTCCTTTGATAATCGATTTTTTTTTCTTTCTTTATGTACGAACACGTAATAAACAATCTCTATACCGAGGCCAATATAAGCAATTTAACGGAGTTATCTTATCTTTATTCTTCCTCGTTGACGATATTTAACAAATTCTTTTATCTTTTACTCGATGACATTGAACTATGAATTTCAGTCCATACGAAATTAGAGGTAGTTTACGTCATCGTTTAAAAAATGCGAGTGCTCGAAGCCACGTTCTCGAAGATTGTTACTCGCCACGGGAAGACTTCGAAGGGAAATTAAAAGTATGATAGACAGAAATCAGTGTAACCGAATCTGTAACGAGACCTACCCTTAAAGCAAATATTCGTCCGCGACCATCAAGAATTCGCCGCGATATTGATTCTATGGAAGTTGGTATAATTACGTGTAGAAAATGTAGTCGTAAACCGAGACATTTTGGCGGGTAAAAATATGCGACCAACGCTATCGCGACACTTGTAAAAATTTCATTATCGCGTACCTCTTTGTAAGACCGCTGCACGACAAAATGGGAACTTCTCGCGACAGGGATGCCAGCGAGTGAAAAGTCCGTCCCGGGAACACCTGGTAGACAGAAAATAATAATACAATTATAACTAGCGACTTCTACAGAAAGGAAAAAGAATAATTACATGGATTTTAAATGAGAAGCCATCGGGAACGAGGGTATGAATGAGAATAAACCGTTGAGATTAAAAGTGACGAGTGACAAGCACAGAATATTATTTGTAAACGAAAAATTACTTGTACGCGGGGAATATTATGAACGAAGCACGTACCATATGCTCGTAAATTTCGTCGGCTATAATCGGTACGTGGTAACGAGCGGCCACCTCGAGTATGTCAAGCGTATGGTCCCGGCTGAACACGGACCCGCACGGGTTCGAGGGATTGTTTATAACGATCGCCGCCGTCATTTCGTCGATCTGCGACTCCAACTGGTCCAAGTTGATCTCCCAGTCGCGCTCCGGCTAGATGTGCGAGTAAATTTAATCGACCTCGAATATGTTTATTATAGGACCGTTTCAATTCCTTTATTTCCTTTACATTCACTGTGCAATTCATTCGTTTCAGCCCCGTTTCATCTTCGAATGCTCGCGATTGAAGATTTTTCGTTAAATTGTCTTTCACCCTCTTGTCCTCCAGTGGCAAAATTAAACCTAACCTCGACATTTAACGATGGAAAGAGAATCGAGGAGATCACGGGTCCCGAATGAATTTTTCACGGCACGAGACGAGAACAGACATCTGGGCGCCAACCATCGCGCGCATATGCACACGTACGAGGTGTCCACGTGCACCTGCATATAGGTAATCAGTGTCAGCTCGTACGTTATAACCCACTCTCTGGTAGACAAGGAAAGCTACGGCACTGCGGTTTTAATTACTCCCCGAGGTAAAATAGACCGCCGGTGTCTCAAGGAAAAGAGAGACATTAAAACACCGGCAGCCGGGCAAAGAAGTACTGGAAACTAAAACAGACGCCCATTTTTACTTTGAATTAACGTCAGGTCGGTTTTGAATTCAAACACTCGCGAAAAAGCAAATACGAGATCATGGTTTAAAATACCCCGAAAGGATCACGCTCCGAGATGTAGAAAATTCCGTCCAGCAACGAACGATTCTATTTATTCCTCGAAAAAATGTAACGTGTAAAATAAATACACCGTGGATTTTTATCCATTTATAGAAAATCTGAACGTGCAAGAACCTACACAATGCAAACAATATTGCATTGAGAGTAAAGTTTCATATTATAATACCTGCAGAAAATAAGTAAATATTAAAATAAATTCCTAGTTAGGTTCAATTTTTGTAGGTACGTTTACATAGATTTCATTTTTCATAAATATCCGCAGTGTAGAAATAAATAATAGCGTCCGCATAAAGTTTTGTGAAATATTAAGGATAAGGGATAAAGAGCTTTGGAAAATTCATTCCAACCACGAACTAGGTACTCGTTACCGAGTTAAAGATTACTAAGTACAAGTGCCGCGTCGCGTAACAAAGTATTCCTATTTCCGATTATTCTACCTGAGAGGCCTGTTATCGGTGGACGAGGACAGTAATCCATGGGAAGTCTCGGTGTACATTTTCCTGCGGCACACGTTTATACTTACACGTAAATCGTAGGACTTTACGATGATCCCAAGACCCTCTGCCAATGTTCGATATATCGAGAAACCAGGTCGCGGTATCAGGATATTCTGTCCCTCCGTCCCTAGAACCGTTATGCAGAGATCGAGGGCGCAGGAACATCCGCTGCAGAGGATTACGTCCTGGGAGAAAAAAGAATAATTTTACGAAGAATTCTGTTGTCAGACATTTCGAAAACTCGTTTGAACGAACATCTTCGATCGTTAATTACCAACGCCAATTTTAATCGTCTGCGAAACATTGCGCAACTCTGGTCAGTTTTTTTTCTTGAAACTTCTCATTAACAATGACCTCCCATAATTGAAAACGAATCTCGACCGGATTCAAAGAGACGATGTATAATAAATTTAATTATTCCCATAGAAATACAAGTAAGCCGATGGAACCATAGAAATACCAATTATTGCTAACACTGTATTTTTCAAAGCAGTTTCCAAACAGTGAATCGCAGAAACGCAACGCTAATTGGTGAAATATTTTCTTTTCGAGGAAGCTTTCCGGTCTGCGACCGATCGTCGAGGGAAATCGGAATTTCCCTGTGAACTTCATCGGGAGCTCGATTAACTGGCGGTTTAACTAGCTATCGCGCAAACAAGGAATAAATGAACAGCAGGCACATGGTGCGCCCGTTGATGAACAAATTTCTGTGTATATACGCGTCTGGTTACCGCGTCCAACTAATTCCAACCGCGAGACATCCGCGAAATGGAATATACGTAGGAATCTGAAGAAACTCGACGACCTGTTTTCGAATCTTGTTGTATCAATTATCGTCTATCTCGGAGTTTCTCGACGCTCGGTATCTGTTCCTTTATTCGCGAGTTTCTTTCATCTCTGCGAGCGTCGAGCTCTGATGAAAATAATAGACCAATTATAGTCCACCGCTGGGATATTCAATAACGCGTGAAAATAATTTGGTAACGATACCGTTCTAAACGAAATACAAGTAAAATGAATGCGTTCGATTCGCTCGCGAATTCGAAGCGGATGGAACCGCGTATACAACGCAGGTTTCGGTTACAACGTTTTCCAGTAAATCAATAACAATATGCAGCATGGGAAAATGCTTCTACATTTCCATTTTTCCCGTATTTTTTTTTTTTTTCACTTGTGTGCCCGCGCCACATGGCCACGCGAGACAGTTGTTTCGAATCGATTCGCCAGGTCCGAATGAGAAACGGATCCAGCGCACGGTGACATTGTGGCATTGCTTCTTATTAAACCACGAATTCGAATAATATTTTCAGATTATTCGGCTAAAACAATGACGCGACGTTCTATTTGTGTTTAGACAGCTGCGTAAGATTTCAATTAAATTTGCGTTTAAATTTAATATTCTTGTACCACGTCAGATTAAATTTTTAAATGAAATGTAAGCGAAGTAAAAATACGCGAAACCTCAAACAGTTATCGGACTGTATCCAATCTGGAATATTCGATGGACTTTAATCCTGATACTTCCCGTCAAACTTCGCTTCCCATAGTTTTTCGTCGATCGTTTCAAACGTAGAATTTTTATTTCGTATCAATTGACGTAATCGTCGGAATATCGAATTGAAATATTGGTGTCGAAATCGTTCGACAAAAAGTTGAACATTTTAAATCGATTCTAGCATACTCCGAGTCGAGAGGACCTTTCAATTATAATTCCCGTTTGATAATTTCGATGGAGGACGGTACCTTCTATAGACTTATTAATAAGGTTTTATCAGAGTTGACAATGACGATGCGAGAACAGTACGTTCAACGAACCGCGAGCGAAGATAATCCCAACGGGGGAATTCGAGAGCTACGACGAAGTAGATTTTAATATTTTACATTTTTTAAATGTAGCTTTCCGTATTATTTTCGTCGCCATTTTGTATATCGACGAGCACTTTCGTCGCGGCCAATAATAAAATGAATTTTAAAATATATATTACCAGCGATAGAAGCTCCGCTATTAGCGCCACTTACCGAAATAAATGGCAGACTTTTCAAGTGGCACGTTAAAGTTTGAAAATGTCGTTAACGTCTGCTACTTATTGGAAGCAACATTTCGGGCCCACTCGTGAATTACAAAAATTGCTACAAACATAATTAGCAGCGCGGAAAAGTTGTTTCGAACTCGTTTTAAATTGCAACTATAATCGTGCATTAATTAAATGGCGTGCCCAGGATCGTTTAAATTTTAAATCACTCGAGAATTGCGACAATCGCTGTCTCGCAATTTTTTCCTAAATTACACAGTTTCGAATGTTACCAATTAAGACAAAAAAAAAAAAAAATGTATCGCGTTAGAATTTTAATTCGAAGCTCACCTCGGGTTCCACTTTTACAAATTCGCTGGAACTGTACTCCGCCACTGCTGCCTTTGCACTGTGGTGACCTTAAATTAAAAAACGATTATTGCAACGCGGAAGGTCTCGTCGATAATTAACGTTCCATTCGTTTTTCAAACTCCTCAATGACGATGAACGAATTAACATTTCGTTCATTTTTCAAACTTTTCAATGAAAAATTGATATTATTAATACGTTAGTACCTGTGGAGGGGGCGTAACCGATATACATTTGGGAAGCTAAGCTTTCTTGCACAGCGTCGATCAGTTCTGTCGGTGGTGTCAAGTTGCCAAACGTTGTGGGATCACCTTAAAATAAAGAAATCTATCAACACTGTATTAAAAATTAATCGTATCTACTTCATTTATTAATCCAAACACAATCGTTTTGCTGGCCCACGGAGAAATCAGTTTTAATAAAATTAATAAAATTCCGAATTGAATCGAAGCATTTCATATTTTTGTACTCGATTCTTCGTGTAACATGTCAGCTTCGATGAAGATTTTCATTAATCAAAGAATACAGTCGATTTATGCTAAATTACATCTGGATCCAACATAGAGCGGAACGATCCAAGCGATCATATTCGGTGCAGCATGCATTTTACAGAAGGATAAACAAGAAAAGGTATTGTATTAATTTACATTTAGTATACGTTTCGATGAAACTGTAATTATCTTGGAAACATCAAAGTGATCGCGTTCGAAACAGCGCCACCGACGAATGAAAAGACCAATTATCCGCCAGGAGAGCTTTTCAGAGATCAGATTTCAATGGATCCGTGCTCCGCGCCACGGTTCTAAACAAACATTCGGACCGTCATATTTAACGAAAATTATCGAAACCAGGACCAGTTATTCGCTTATCAAATTCGAGAATCGAACCACGTGGAATAGTCATTAAACGACCAAATCAATATAGTATTGAAAGCAGTGGGCGATTTAAGTATCGCAAATAATTCTATCGATATTAACGTAGGAGTCTAAACGAGAAATAATGCACGGGGATTCGAATCCACGATCCTTGGATCCACGGTCGACTCCTTATTGTTGGGTATGGAAGTCGCGAATACTACAGTAACTATTGCATTCAACATTTTTACATTTCATTTACAATGGATTTCGAACGCTCCAGAAACACCAACCCTTACAACTGAAAGATTAAAGCTATCTTTCTTCCCCTCCAATTTTTCCATTGTTTGCAAATTCAATTTTCAAATTTGTTTCGCAACCAGTTGAGGCCTGAACTCATGTTTAGACTCGAAACGCTGTGAATAAATTTGCTTGCGGGAGCCCGGCACGATTCTTCTTATTTTGTTTGCAATTGTCTTCCAAACGAGCAGCATACCAGACTGTTTATACACTTCCGGTTTAACGCGAACGAAAACCTAGTGGAAACGAAGCGGGGGTTTTTTGTAGCTCGTCGGAAGTCTTTGTGCCGAGAGTCCATATTGTCGACTGCAGAACGTTGCGGCAACTTTTTTAATCATTTCGTAAATTGAGGACAAAACGGATGTAACTAGGGGATCGTGCGCCACCGCGAAAATCGTTGAAAGAAGTCCCTGGCGGTTTTTGATGTTACGTTATTTCGTGCTTGATGAAACCGAAATGAAAAACAAATAGGAGGAGTCGGTTTGAGTGGTGACTTCTGTTTCAAGAATTTTGTTATACAGGGTGGACCATTTTAAACTCCCCGGTAGAATTCCTTGGAGACTATAGTAGTTAGCGAAGAATGTTTCGAACAAAACATTGCTCGACTTAGAGGTGGAAATATTCTCGTGACTTTGCCTTTGACCTTGGAGATCACGTTCAAGGTAATTTAAAGGTGAACTTTCTACGTTCAGATGAGGTAGCATCAGTCAGTTCAGACTTCCATACGAGATATATGACTAGTTAACTATAGTGTTATAGTTTCCGAGAAATTCTACCAGGGAATTTCAAATGGTCCACCCTGTATTTCTATTCTTCGAGGGAAGATTACTGTTTTGTGGCGGAAAGAATTCTGATTCCTTCTATGGAAGAAATATTAGGCTGTTATTTAAATAAAATATTTCAGATGTTGACAAAAGTCTGACGCTGGGAAAAGAGGAGAAGATCTCACCAATGGTCAGAGCGATCATGGGTTTCGAGGGATTTGGCTCGACGACGATGTTTTCCACGATGGACCTAATGGGGTTGTGCGTCTTGGTGGCGATGTCCGACGCGCGGATGTCCCATCGCTCGCGTGAACTCGACGTCGACATCCTGCGCGACTTTCAGCTCTCGTACAAAATTTCCACTATCAGAGTCTCCGTCACATAAAACTTGATCACTCCTCGTGATGAACCGCGTCGAGTTGGATCTTCGCTAAGTGGTCGTTCCTTTATAGAAGAAAGATCGAGGGATCGGGAAACGATAGTCGTGGTCCAGCCGGTGTTCCATCACTGAGACGCGATCGGTTCGGGTTCGCCAATAATCGAAATGTTCCACTGAACGCAGGAGGACGAGTGAACCGGTCCGATTGGTCGGTTAACCACCACACCTTCTTTCGTAATTAATTTGAACGAATTCCCTGCTTACGTAGGTAAACAGCCTCGAGCAATTTTCTATGTCGACGTCGCAGGAAACCGGAAGCCGCTCGATAATCCAATCAAAAGTCTGTCACCTTCGGAGCCGCGGAACCTGAAGATTCTCGATGGAATATCTCCACGTGTAACTGAAAACGAACACCTGGCAGGCGCGAATGTCATACGGCACGGGAACATTTGATGGAAATAGAACACCAGCTAGGAGATTATTCAAACATATTTCTTTCTCTAATTATACATGGCTCTTTGTAAAGAAAGAAGCGATAAGAAAATATTTGTATACTTTAAACATTGTAATAAATTTGCATCGATAGCTGCTCGCCCTTGACGACCACCATATCCATTTGTATCGTTTCGACATGTTTGTGAGATAGGAGGAAAATGAAATGTGATAAAGCAGGCAATGAAATGCGTACGTATACAAGTTCAGATAGTGGATGATAACAATAGGATCGAAATAGAAGAAAAGAAGGAATTTTCTTAGAAAGAAAACTCTGTTCGATGGAACAGAGTTCGATGGAAAAAACGTGTCGCGAAACCGCGTTCGTCCCGTAGTCCCGATAATGAACTCGTTAGGCTGCTAAGCCAATGTTTTTCGTTCATTTCGACGGAATGGAAAACATAAAGGGAATAAAAAAATGTTATTCGTAGCGCAAATCTTGGATACGAGCAAAACAAGGTCGATCGTTCGATTCGCGAAGCGCGACAGCACGATCACGATACGGGAGAGTGATCGAAGCTGTTATTCTAGGAAGCGCACGTTCGAATAAACTACGAAAGAAGGTGTGGACGTTGCTCGACCAATCCGACCGGTTCGTTCGTCCTCGAGCCCCCTCATTGAAATTCCGTATTTTCGCAACAGTCATCCTATCGCCACGTGCCCGTTTAATTCACTTCGAAAGAAATAACGCTCGAGCGACGCGTGTATCACGCGTGATACACGCGTCGCTCGTAAAAACAATCGCGGCGGGAACTTCTCGTAGAAATAATTGGATTTCTATCGCGCAAAACCTTTAATGAAATGCAAACACAAACTACATCCCATTGTTTGCCTGGCACAATCTGATCCGCCTGATCAAATCCAGCCAAGAATTGGAAAGTTTCGAATGTATGCTAATGCTGACTGGGAAAGATCATGTTTCACGCTTTTTTTTAGGACGGAAAGCCCGGTATTTGAATTGGTAATCTCGCGACGACCGCGCGAACTCGTCGACGACCGTCGCCATTAGGCTCGTTTTGCAAAATATCAAAGTGTTGGAAAAAGGTTTGATTCTTGTAATTAGATCTTCAGATATAAAAAGTGGAAAAGTGGAAAAGTGGAAAAGTGGGAAACTCGGAAACTGGGAAAGTGGAAAAGTGTAAAGTGTAAGGTGCAACAGTGTAAAGTGTAAGGTGCAACAGTATAAAGTGGAAAGTGGAACAGTATAAAGTGCAAAAGTGTAACGTGAGATTAGATTTAGATTAGCAGGAATAGAACTAGTTTTCAGAACAATTCATTTGTATAAATCACGTATTAACATTGATATATTTTTTATTGCAAAATGATAGTCAATTTTCACGACAAGTTGTGTATTTAAACTAAAGATCAAACTACGACGTACATACTTTATCTTCTTCTTCATCTTCTATTTTATCTTTCCCGACTTGGATAAAAACTTCCTTTATTCTAAGCCTTTCCATTCTTTATCGCAGCTTTCGATCGACCCGTATTTTCCAAATATAAATTTCCAAAGGAACTTGTTATCATCACCCAGCAGGCTCAGGCCGGATGAACAGACAGGGGGGTTCGATGAAAATGATCGGGAAACGGAAGAAATGCGACCTATTCGCGACACCTGCGCGGCATCGGGATTGAAAAACAGATATCCAGGAACAATTCACCGATGCAGTAACCGCTCTTACGCGTCCGTCGTGGCTGACGTATGGTATTTGTGCTCGGGAAACTCGAAGTGCTATTTCAAGTGTAATATCGTGATCGCTGTGAGAGGCTCCGCGGTTGGTAAAAAAAGAAAAAAAAAATGCATATGCTAATAGATTACGCGAATCGCGGGAAACGTTGAGTTACATGGACACGGAAAATCTCGTCCGTGCTTGTTCGTCGTGTACCATATTTGCATTATAGTCGGGAGCCAACCATCGACGAGTTAAATCAGATTTCGTTCCGTGTTGAACATACAGGCTGATCCAGAGTGTTTTCTGGATCGTATCTCTCGACGAGGACCAAAAGCTAAAGTCGAAATTGTAATAAATTTGCATCGATAGCCGCTCCCCATTGACGACCGTTGTATCCGTCCATATCGCTTCGATATTTCTGCGAGATAGAACGAAAATGGAATCCGATGGAGCAGACAACGAAATATGTATGGCGATGTTGTTTTCCTACCGACTGCTCCAAGCTCAGTTAGTGGAAAATAACAATAGGATCGGAATAAAAGAAAAGAAGGAATTTGCATTAAAAAAAAACTGTAGTCAATGCTCTGCTGTTCCCGCCATTGTTTTCGACAAAGGGGGAAAAAGTGTTGCGGATCGTTATTTTTTTTTGTTTTTTCGATGAAAAAAGACACGATCGCAAATGAATCAATCGTTCGAAAACCGATTTGCGCGATGTTTTGCGCTTCTGCGGATCCTCTTTTGACGTTGTACACAGATTGGCTTCCCTGGATGTACACGCATGTATCAAGTGAAGGGGGGGGCGGGGGGGGAGCAGGAACCGATGTCGAAATAAACTTTCCTGGCGTGTACGCGTGTCTACTGGCATCGACAGGTACATCGTCATGACTTCTCGACAATTGTACTTACCGTTTGTAATTGTACCAGCTTAACCCGTTTCCACTTTTCTAGAAATTTGCAATTTTATTCGAATGAAATGTTTAACGTTTTAGCTAGATGTACGTGAACGTACCCCCCCCCCCCCGTAACGAAAATCCACCTTTATAAATGAATCAAGATAAACGATTCCGATATAGGGTTGAAAGGGGATTGAAGACAGAGCCGGTGTTAGGGCTTTTCTATGCTACGTAGTTTAACAATTTTTACGATCTAACTACGGTTACATCGTTCGATATTATTACCTCGTCCTTTTTCCTTAAAAATCGTAACACCTGAATGGACGCCACGGTAATTTCGTCCGGGGCGCCAACTCTTGCTGAAACCGACGCTGGTTGAGAGGATCGACGAAAGAATAAAACGAGTAGAAGTTTGAAAATAGAATTTTATTAGCTACGTAGCAAAATACCTATACACTTAAATATTTGGCTTCACACGTTTACCAGGCTAGAGTTCGTTTATATTAATATACAACATGTAAAATGTGCCATATTGGATATGGGCAGTGTCCGATGATAGTACGATAAACTTAATTTTCATACGACATTAACGAGATATAAATATATATATAATATATATATATATTACTTTACATGCTAGAGAATAGTACGCTGGGCACTTTTGAATAATTATAGAAAAAAAAATAATAATAATAATAACCTTACGGCGTACGGTGGGGTGGGGGTAGGGGGGGGGGGCGGAGGCTCGCGAGAAATTCGAAGACGGGCAGTAAAAACAAGAGAAGTTCAGCGAGATGTGAAAGAGTAGTCGCGAGGAGGGCGGAAAGGAGAGCGGATAGAAAGACACGAAGAGGTGGCAATAGAGCGTGAGTGGGTCGAGGTAAAAAATAACGAGGGCAAGATGTATGCAACGGAAAAGTTGGGAATACCCCCGGAACGACGAGCGAAATTCTCAACAGAAGAATAATTTCGAGGAATACAAGATGTACGATCTAATTGAAACTTTTCCACCGCAAAATAAACAAATCGTTCGGTCGTCTTCGATCGAACAAGCATCGTCGGCTTTTCTGTTTCTAATTGACTCGATTTATTCGAATGAAAACATCGCCCATCTCGGGGGGGGGGGGGGGCCGGGGTAGCGTAAAAGAATCGATGGAGGAAATCCTCGCCGTTCTCTTTATTTTGACATCGCCGGTGAACGATCTTCCGTTCCATCGCGAGACTTTGATACATCCCTTCTCTTGACTTTTTTTTGTTCGTACACTCTATTCATCGGTAGCAATAATCTTTGTCGGGTAAAAAAAAAAAAAAAAAATATACAGGAGAATACAGAAAGAGAGAAAATAACAAACATGTGCAGAAGGAAAGAGAGCAAAGAACAGACGCGCTTGCCCGCGGGTCTACGTGTTCTTTATACACACTTGGCAGCGACTAATTCGGGACCTGAGGTTTCCTGCCTTCAAGGTCTGCTTCTCGGGCCTTTGGAACTGTTGCCACTCCTCGATGGTGGCCATCCAAAAGCTGAACTCGTTCGCGTAATAGTGGCAGTGTCCTTTGGCGCCGTTGCACTCGATGAACGGCGTCGCTCGGAAGTCCTCCAGGCAGGAGCCAGGACTCGACAGCGACTGCCCGCCGCCCTGCGATCCAGCGCCCGTGTGCTGCAACGGTAACGCTCGGATTTATTAAAACGTTCATTCTTAAACCCATTTCGATCGTTGGGGTATCACGAACCGGGGCGTTGAAACTTCAAACGATTCGATCTTTCCCCGGTTAAATTAAGAAGCACAGAAGAGGCTTCAAGATCACTTAGAAATAATCGAAACATTGAAATTATTCCTAATTCTAGACACGTTGTTGTTTTAATATTATTTGCCTTATAGTAGGTTAACGAAAGTGTCCAATAAACTCTGTTTCAACCTCGCGACCTGTATGTTACTGTCTACTAATAAGTTAGTTGCGTTTTAATCATCAAATAGAAACAAACATAGCGCAACGAGCAATCGAAGGGAATAATTTTGTAAATCGATATCCATACCATGATAAAACTGTATCCGATCCAAAGACCGGTCCAGTCTTGCGGACATTCTGGAATGCTCAACGATTGGCTGTGTACAGCTATCACGTTCGCTGGAACTTCGCACACCACGCACCTGTGAAGGAGAAACAATTCAGTGGGAAGAACGCGTACATTTATTTCTTCAATTTCTTCAATTTATATAATTTAGAAATTATAAACAAAATTCTAACATTTGACAACCGTTGTTAACATTGATAAACACTTGTAACAAAGTATGTGCTGTTTAGTTGTAAAATTTCTTGTGCGAGACAAAATGGATGATACAAGGAGAAGAAACATTAAACCCTTTGATGAGGAAAACACGTTTACCAGGCTCGTCAAATACAGCGTTTGGAAATTTCGAATACGTTGTTTGTCAAGCGAACTTGACGTGCTTCGTAAACGACAATCCTCCTGCAACTATAAATGAAGGTAGATAGACCCCGGAGAAAACCGGGAAATACTGCGAAAAATGTTGTGCGAATTTCTGCGAATTCAGTGAACAAAGCTAAAGTTAATCAACAAATTCAGTATTCATTTCCAATAATGACACGCGCCTAATGGTAATAATTCTCTTTTTAAATGGCGAAGGGGGGACTTTGTGACAAAATCGGGAAGCTGCCGACATAAAGTTCCTAAGTACACGTGTAGGTACACGTGTGTGTTCGATTCAAGTATCAAATCCGTAAATCGTTCCCCACCTCGTTACCCAAGATCACGCGCAGCGTAAGATATGCAAACGAGCCGTTCATTACGCAACCATCGCGTGTCCGTCTTCCGTTAGTTTGAGACGTAAAGGGTTTTCCAGAAGATGCTTCGAGATATGCGCACCTCGAGATCTACCCGAAATTTGCCTCGTCCAAGGCGATGTATTCTTGTCTCTCCTCCATGGAAACGTCCTACATACCTGGAGATGTATTCTTCTATCGCCGTCTCTTCGACAGGCATCATGGGAATCGGACTATTGGTCGAGAGCCAGTAAGAACGATCGTTGCGGCTGGCGTAGTGGCATACGTTGTTGACGTCGCAGAAGAGGAAGGGCATCGTCGAGAACTTTCGTACGCACGAGCCTGCGGAACCTGTTTCAGCGATAATTTATTAGACAAGTTGAATTACCACGGAGGGAATAGAAAAACAACCATGACGCGCGTATGTTTCCAGATCTACTGGTCAACCGTTAATTCTACAAACTTCGAATATAAACGTTAGTTGCTGGGCCTCGGGTGAATTTTTCTTACGAGACTGAAAGTGGATAGTATCGTGTTTTTATTATATTCGTACTCTCTACGTCTATTAAAAAAGTTTGTCTAAACTAAATGATACGTTTGACGTTTTCAAATAAACGTTTCATTATAAATATTTACATGGAGAGATTTATTTGTAAACATCGAACCTGTTAATTTAGACAAATTCCTTCGATAAACATAAGGGGGTGCGATTATTAATAGGGTGACTGTATGTATTCTATACGAGTGTATATTTAAAGAAGCTGTAGAACCTCCAAACAATTCCTACGAGCAATTCCTAAGAGCTTAATTAAATAGTTGCCTATGTCAAGAATATTTCGATTTCGATTTCGTCTTTGAAACGGATTGAAAGTAACGCGCCGGACATAGGGGGTCCCAATGACCCCAGCCATGTTTAAACGATTACCGCGTTGTCAGTATCGTTCCGAAAGACTCGTAAAAATTCAGGATATTAGTTTGAACCTTTCGGAATGAGAATATCATGGCAACAAATTGTTATCAAATCTTCAAAATGGCGAAAAAAAATCAGCAAAGAGACAATGCGTAAAAAAAAATCATAACTCTGGCAATTTTTAATATATTTTCGTAAAATTAATAACTTATAGTACTTCTAGTTTAAAGTTGCGCTTGGGGTCATTTTGACCCCAGATGACCGCGAAGGGTTGAGTAATACTTGCCCAAATCTTGTGAGTGCGCCCTTTCGTCGCCGTCCGTGTACAGCATGCTGTATCCTTCCCAGAGCTTGATGTGGCCCGCATCGCAAACGGGCACCGTTTGGCCCTGACTGTGCTTGACCAATAAAATACCGGTGAGATAATCAGGTGCAACGTCGCACGGTCTTCCTGGTTCTCCCGCGGGACCCGGAACGCCCACGGGTCCTTGAAGACCTGGTAATCCAGGGGCGCCGTCGGGTCCTGACAATCCTGGCAAACCCACTGGCCCGAGAGGTCCTGGAGGACCTTGCGAACCCTTCAGTCCGTCCAATCCTGGGAATCCTTGCGGTCCTGGGGGTCCTTTCTCTCCTGGTTGTCCTGCTGGTCCGGGAGGTCCTGCGAAACGAATCGATATATCGATACAAATTGGGTTCAATTGGCCTTTGGGTCAAACGATTCTGACAAGGGTGTCTTTAGTCTACGTTCTAAATATTTGTTACTATATCGTTTAGGTACTTTTCATTTCTACGTAATAATGTTGACTTGACGTGTACTATACTTTATTTTGCGTGTTGTCCAACCGTAGATACATCTTTATATCTTAACATTCTTTTATTTTTATTAAACGCACGAACCATATCTATGTCCGGTGGATAAATCTTAGAATTTGTCAAATCGCGCACATCATACAATCTCGTGAATATTCGTACCCTCTGTCTCTATCGAAGAAGTTTGACTAAGTAAAATAATAGTTTTGATATTACTTAATGAATTTTTCATTATAAATATGTATACGAATAAGCTTATACATATTTATATGAACATGAATATGTTTATACAAACATACACTTGGGAACGTCAAACCTATGATTTCGTTTAAATTAGTTATTGATAATAATAAATTATCAATATCAATTTCAATAGAAATGGAGGTTGCGAATATTTTTGGGACTCACTGTGTATCAACATTCTTTCATTTTCTTTGAAACGTTATCTTTGATGCTGTTTTATGTCGCATCCTGCCAGGTCAAAAACAAATAAATAGCAAAATATGTTCAAGCAATATATTCAAATATATTCTTGGATAAATATATTTATCCAAAAGGATAAGGTTAATCTCGGAGGGAGAACGATTAAACGTTCGCCAAGTTTTGCGCTACTTTTCTTGAATTCAATTTCCTTGGCATCTGGCATTAGTGAAATTACCTGGATATCCGCGATCTCCTTTAGGTCCCATCGGTGGCTCGATGCAATCGTCTCCCTTTTCACCTTTCGGACCAATGTAGCCAATAGGACCCATTAATCCTACTGCGCCGGGGTATCCTCTGTCGCCCTTCTCCCCGGGTCCTCCAGGAGGACCGTTCACCCCGTCCCAACCCCTCTCGCCTTTTTCTCCTGGCGCTCCGTCCAGGCCGCTCGCACCTGCGAATCGAACAGAATGTTCTCTTTGCAAAATGTTCGTACACGTTCCGTAAATTGACACCTGAGTAATTCTGTCAAATAACGATACTGTTTATAGTATCCATCGTACACTTGGCTCCATTTTCGATCTTGGGAAAGCGATGACTATAAATGGAAGTGATTATAAATGGAAGTGACTCTCGTATTAGAATGTCGATACTTGTTTGTCATTTATCAGCTCACGTTGACACCGAGGACGATTACATAGTTGATTAGAAATGAAAACGTGTTATACACTTATTTAGCTGAATTTAACGTAATAGAAACGACGTTACTTTCTGGTTCCTCTGAAATTTAATTCCGTCGACTCGCCGAGTCTAGAGAAGTGTCGCGTGTCCTATGGTCTTTAAATAAACAATTGCACTACGGCTATAATCACCTTTTCCACAACTAAATCCTGCGATATTTTCATCAAAATACAATGCAAAAGCACAGAGAAAGCACTGATTTACCTGGGAATCCTGCATCTCCCTTTTGGCCCGGATATCCTGGCAATCCTGGTGGTCCCGTATTTCCCTTCTCGCCCCTTTCACCGGGTAGTCCTGGCATTCCTTCGAGACCAGGAGATCCGTCACGACCAGGCATTCCAGGACTGCCCACAGGACCCATGTCGCCCTTCTCGCCCTGCGGACCAACGGGTCCGTAAGGACCCTGGTCTCCTTTGTGACCTGGCAAACCTGGCAATCCTTGCTCTCCCTTCTCTCCTGGCCGTCCTGGGATTCCTTCGCGGCCGTGTTTTCCGGACAAGCCTGGCAAACCCTTTTCACCCTTCACTGTTAATCCGGGGACACCTTCTAATCCGGGTGGTCCTTGTTCGCCTGATAAATTCAATTTTTTTAATTTAATTTTTATTATTAAAAATAGGTACAAGAACACTAAGCTTCTCCCGCTTTAATCCTGTCCCTATAATTATTCTTTCAAAACGTTGTCTCGAGGGTATCAAAGATTACATAATTTAACATCTGTCGTAGTATTTAATTTTTTAACGTTGCCAAATTCACGAATCCTGTCCAGATTTATTTTCATTGTTGTCTCACCTTCGGAATGAATTGTTTCAAGTTCCTTAATGGAAGTCCTGTCACCCGTTTGTGACCAACGTGTTAAAGTGCTCTTATTTCGGTATAACAATAATAATAATAATAATAATAATAATAATAATAATAATAATAATAATAATAATAATAATAATAA